ATCCGATGACGCGACGGGTGGAGTACATCGGGCCCGTGGTGAACGCGGCAGCGCGCATCACGGCCATGACCCACGGCGGCCAGATCGTGATGAGCCACGCTGTTCACGCCAAGGTCAAGGACGCCGACACCATGACCAAGCGTTTGGTGCACCTGGGCAAGTTCGAGATGCCCGACGCTCCCGCCGGTACGCTCATCAACAATGGCCAAATTTAACTCCGACACGCCAAAATCTGAACGCTTTGCTTGGGCGCAGGTGCCAAGCTTTACGAGCTGAAGGTGGAAGGCCTCGAGGGTCGTTTCTTTGGCGGCGTGACCAAGGACGGCGACACGACGTCGTCGACCCCTCCCCACAGCGGAGACGGCGCTTCGGACGACGGCAAGGACAAGGCCGTGGAGCCCAACGAGATGAGCGGCATGTCGACGGCCAGCAGCGACGGAGGCCGGGGCCGCGGGGGCGAGCTGCAGACGGCGGTGGGCGAGGGCATGATGTTCAAGGAGGACACCTTCCTCACGTCGGCCAACCTGTGCCGCTGGATCATCGACTTCCACGAGATCCAGGTGGGCAAGCAGGTGGGCCTCGGCTCCTACGGCGTGGTCTACCGCGGCAAGTGGAAGGGCGTCGAGGTGGCGGTCAAGCGGTTCATCAAGCAGAAGCTCGACGAGCGGCGCATGCTCGAGTTCCGCGCGGAGATGGCCTTCCTGTCGGAGCTCCACCACCCCAACATCGTCCTCTTCATCGGTACTGACGTCACAGCCCTCTGTTTCATGACCATGATCATTATTCTCATCATCATCATCGCCACAACAGGGGCGTGCGTGAAGAAGCCGAACCTGTGCATTGTGACCGAGTTCATGAAGCAGGGCTCGCTCAAGGACATCCTGGCCAACAACACCATCAAGCTGGCCTGGAAGCACAAGCTCCGTCTGCTGCGGTCGGCCGCGCTGGGCATCAACTATCTCCACTCGCTCCACCCGGTCATCGTGCACCGCGACCTCAAGCCCTCCAACCTTCTCGTACGACGCTCTTCTTCGCTTTTCGTTCTTCGCTCTTCGCTCTTGGCTCTTGGCTCTTCGCTCTTCGCTCTTCACTTTTGTTTCGCTCATCACACTCTATCGATCGCAGGTGGACGAGAACATGAACGTGAAGGTGGCCGACTTCGGGTTCGCGCGCATCAAGGAGGAGAACGCCACCATGACCCGCTGCGGCACGCCCTGCTGGACGGCGCCCGAGGTGCTGCGCGGCGAGAAGTACGACGAGCGCGCCGACGTGTTCTCGTTCGGCATCATCATGTGGCAGGTGGCCACGCGCAAGGAGCCCTACGCTGGGCGCAACTTCATGGGCGTGTCGCTCGACGTGCTCGAGGGCAAGCGACCCCAGATCCCCAACGACTGCCCGCCCGAGTTCAAGAAGGTGATGAAGAAGTGCTGGCACGCCAGCGCCGACAAGCGGCCCACGCTCGAGGACGTGGTGACCTTCCTCGACCAGCAGGTGGGCGACGACAACGACTCCTCAGCCGCCCAGCTCGGTATCTAGAGGTTTCTTTGTCTTTATGTACCACAACAAAAACAACACTACCGCACTTTCAAGAATAGCTGTTGAGTTGAAATGGAATGCAAAAATAGTAACAGTATCCGTCTCTCCCCCCTCGTCGTTCGTTGTTGATGGTCTTACGTCTCCGACCTCGTCTCCTCTCGTGTGTTGTATGGTTGCTGCGTCGCGCCTCTTCTTCGCTCTCCTCGCCTTGCCGTGGTGGTTGTGGTTGTAGGGGAAAGACCTGCGCGTTGTGTTGAGCCTGCTTCGCCGTTGGCAATTGGATGATCACGAGGACTTCAGTCCAGATCGATGTCGAGGATGATGGCCTGGAGTTCTCTTCTGTTGGCACCCTTCTTGCCCTTGGTCTTGCAGGCCGCCTTGGTCATCGGACCCATCGAACAAATGCCGCACCTCCCGCACCAGCGACCCCTGTGCTTGCTCCTGTCTCCCCTCCTCCTCATTGGTGTTGTTTGGTTGTTTCTTCTTCGTCAGGCTTCCTCTATGTAGGCCCTCTTTCCGCCTCTTATCTCAGTTTTTTCTGAGAAATCAATGGCCGTGTCGGGCGGCCCACCACGGCCATTGATTTCCCAGAAAAAACTGAGATATGAACAATCACTGGCTAGTGGAGTGTGAGGTAGGTGATGCAGGGTGGACTATTAACTGCGCAGTGTAAGACCTCAACTAGAGAGGACCGAGTCTTTCGGCGGAAATATGAAAAGTCGGAGGTGGAAGGGCGAAATCTCAGTTCAAGGTGGAAGTTCTCTGGAATCCTGGTTCAACAAAAATTTGAAGTCAAATCGTGGGATTTGGGTTAGGAGTAGTTTGGAGGTGATTGGTCAAGTGGGTGCTCCAATTTCGCCTCTGCTTTGGTTTGGCTGGCGCCCCATCTACCTCACTGGTCACTGAGTCCATCCTGGATGACACAGATGACAAGTTGGTGGAACTCAAGGCCAACCTTATCAATATGGTTAACATGGCTATTGATTCCTTCACCAAGGAAGGCCTTGTGGGCTTGGCCAAAGGGAAATCTACCAACTCAATACCCAAACTGTCAGGTTTGTCCTGGTCAAGCTCAGCCTCCCACATGCCCCTGCCATCACCAAAGGGTTGGTGATGGCAGGGGGTTGTGTCTATGCCAGCGCCCCCAGCTTCCCCCCCAGGACCCCCCAGCCATCACTACAACCTCAATCTTGTCTTCTCTGTGTACATTCAAATTCCAAACCAGTTGGAATGGATGTGAGAAGCTGGTATGGCTCAGAGTAGGCTCCTTGGGTGTGGTAGGCTTTGTCCTGGATCACTGGTTTGCCTGAAGCATCACAGAAAAAATGGAAAACATGGGGGGTGGGGTGACCAGTCAGGCCATGCATGTGATTTCCAAGCCAGCTCTTCCAGTCCCAAACAGTTTCAAGGGTATGCAGGGAAGGAGCTGGGCCAGTGGATCAGTAAGCCTGCTCAAGAAAACCTGAAAGTTGACTGAAATTTGAAGATGAAGTTAGGAAGGTGAACAAAAAGGGGCAATCATTAATGCTGACAGAAAAAACCAATGCACATCAGGTAATGAGTCAACAAATAAAAAACCCAATAACTGAGGCGTTCTGCAGAAGAAAGAGCAAGGTGGTGAGTCTGTGCACTTGCAAACTGTGCAGCCTCAAGAGGGCTTTTGGCTCTCAAGCGTTGCTGTGCAAAGTCAATGCAAGCAGAGCACTTGCCAAGG